CACATTTCTATCAAAACACGGCACCATTGCAGGAGGGGTTATAGAGTAATATCAGCCTCATCTTTCCAGGCTAGCTAGAGCTTGGCATATCATGAAAGAAATTCTTGGGACTCTGGTGAGCCTCAGCCCTCAAGGCAGAGCCCGAGTGTCACGGGAAGGATGATTCCTAACTGAAGGAAGCCTGTTTGAACTGGGCCTGGTGCATGGACAGAGGGACAGTAGTACTCTTTCTGGAGGCTAGTGCTTCCCTTCATACCATGACCACCTGAGAGAAGGATGGAAAAACACCTTGTTTGGAAGTTACTTGATTACATTTTCAGATCTGAAGTTTCCCAAGCTTTTGCTGCCTTTGAAATGGCTCTGCTGTATTTATTGGTGATGGGCAAACAGCAAGATAAGGGACCGTAGCAAGTAGGGAGGCGTCTGAAAGTCTTTCACTATACAAAAACAACCTAAAAATAGAGCTAATGGGACATTCACAAATGAAAGGAAGCCTGTGTCTCATAACGTACTGAGCCGAACGCATTCTCATCTGTCTGCCAGAGACTAATTCAGCTCACTAAGAATGAGAGAGAAAATTACCTAACAGCAGTGTGGTTCCACACAGTCTTTCCAGGCCCTCCTATAATACCCAGAAGTGGAGCCAAAATTGCTGGGAAACAATAACAGCCTCAAACCAGGTGCTACTGCTCAAAACCATGTCCGTGTCTCTGTAAGCATTTTTTAGGCTTGTCAAGCAAGCAGGCAGGAAGGCTGACTTCTACTGACAGAGCCAAAGGTGAAAAGAAGCCAAAAGTGTTCACTGGAAGAATGAGAACTAAGGGGGTAGACAGAAGTACAGCTCTCTGCTGTTACTCATAGTGCTTCACAGGAAGTGCCATGAGTTACAGAGATCCCCTGGATCTAACACACATTCACTGTTGGGTCCCAGGGTTTGAGCCCCAGTCTGGAGCATCTGTGAGTCTACAGCTGCTCTCCCCTGGCCCTGTTCCTCCCCCTTCCCAGCTCTGGCACAGTCTTCAGAATAGGACGGGGGATGGGGAAGGGAGTGGAGGGAGCCCGGTTTGGGGGGGTTTCAGCCAGCACTAAAGAGTGGGATGGATGGATCGGAGTCACCCCACTTCCAATCCACCTGCCCCACCTTCTAGCACTGGCTGAAAACCCCCCAGATTGAGCTTTCTCCGCTCCCATCCCCTCCTCCCATTCCAAACACAGTGCTAGGAGCAGGGCTGGGCTGCTCTGGAGTGTCTTCATCTGAACCCACATGTCATGAGGATTCAGATTGTCATGGGATCAGGCCCTTTTAAAGCTCTCTGCAGCTGTGCCCTTGTGTCACGGCATGGCTGTAGAGTGCTTTCAAGGGGACAATCCCGGGACAAACATAACTTCTATCTGTGCCTTAAATCAGTGGTTTTCAAACTTTTTTGGCTGCATACCCCTTTACCTGAAAAATATTGCTGCTTGTCCCCCTTGAGCCCAACACATCTTTGCCAACACTGACAACAACACTACTATTCACCATGCATTGGCCAAGCAGAAACTCCACAGCCATTATTAAAATTTAGTCATGTACCCCTTGGCAAAGTACAGCATTCACCTGGGGGATACTTATACTCCAGTTTGAGAAACACTTACCAAAAAGACTGTGGCATCCACATGCTCTGGAGTTCTATAGGCCTGCCAATATGTGTTAACGTCTCATAAAAAGTGGACATATTACCTGGAAGCTATTAAATCTCCACCATTGTTAAGGAATGTGAGCCTTTAGGGAGGGAGGACAACTGAGTACATTAATTTTAGTCCCATTTATGTTGTAGAAGACTATTCACAGCTCAAAGTAAAAAACAATTAATAGTAATATAAATGTACCAGTAAGTACCCTTTACAGTGACGTATTCAATCTGCTGAAACAATTGCACGTGTGTCTACTTGCCTGGTAGAACACGTTCTTCATCTATTCAGGTTGTATGGATTTTAGCATCAATGTTTTGTTCACTAGTCTAATTTTTTGTCTGTTGTTACTTTGAGGGCTGTCTTTTGACATTTGATTTCACAGTTTTAGTACTTAATTTCTTTTTGACATGAGTTTTATAGCGGCAGTTTTTTAACATTTCATTCAAGTCATGCTCAAGTAGGTAAAAAAATTCACGTCTATCTTTTGAAGAGCTCTGTTCGGTAGTCCTTATCCAAAATCCATTGAGGTCAGTGAAAAAATGTTATTGAGAAATAAGTGTCTCATTGATTTCAGTGAGCTGCATATCACGTGCTATACCTTACATTTTGGATTCCTTATGCAGGTTTTCAATCAGCAAAATTGCCATTCTGCTCTTTTCAGCCAACATCCCTTCAATGGAGGTTTTATAAGTTACCAAAACCCAAGATAGTTTAAAGTTCCTTCTACCAGCCACAATGCTAACTCTGGCTGACCAGAAGAGAAGAGAAGAGAGAAAATTATTTTAAAACTGTGTGTGTGTTTTTCTCCGCAGTGCTGCTGCTACTCCACCGTTCCTCCAACTCACCCTTCCCTCATCTCTTTCCCATCGAGAAGTGACCTTATGAAATCTTGAGGGTTTGATAACTGGCTTTTTGGCTCCAACCATTTGTCAATATTAGTTAGGGTGAGCAAAAGATCAGCGCCTGTTGCCTGGCAATGCTAGGAGCTATTTATTGACTTGAGGCTGGGGGCGGTGTAGTGGGTTTATTTTGTGTTTTGTTGTTTTATTGCCCCAGTAAATACTGCTTTTACTAGTTCTTAAGCATTTCTTCAGTAAATGTACTATTTGTTCTTCAGCTGCAGACTTAAGTCTTATGCCCAAGGAAGACTCACTCCACTCATTGAGGGGGCAAGTAGACTTCATTTTCTGAAAATTAAGCTCTCCCATTTCTGCTGACCTTATTCATGCTGAGTAATGGCTTAGTCGTGCAGTCCAAATGATGTCAGTACTACTGCTCAAAGAGTGAAAGGACTGTGTAGGGGGAGTAAGACTGGTGCAATCTATCCCTTATTTTTTCGGTGATGAATGCCTTTCACTGTACCGGAATCTGCTAAGTGTTTACCCCCTTTGAGAAGTTACTGGCATGCATCTGTGTGTGGGAGTGGAAGTGGTAATGATGTACCACAATTTGGTTTTTATATATAATTGGTAGGTGTATTTACTCAGTGACACTGAATAGTTCAAGATTTGTTCCAGTCTTATTTTTGAGCAAGGCATTTATAATTGGCCGGGTCCTTTCTGGGGACAGTTTCCCTGTGTAAAAGGTCTCAGCAACACAAACAATTGAGGGAAATCAGATATGGTACACAAGCACCTCTGAGTTCAATTCTCAGGTCTGCCACTCCCCTACTGTGGATTCAGTTCAAAGGCCAGTGAAGTCAATAGAGTATTTCTACTGAGATCAGCCCCTACATTTTCCTGGGCAAGACAAGACCCTTTCTTTGCTACAGCTTTTTCTACCTGTAACAAAGGAATAATAATATCTCTCTACATTTATGAGTATCTTTGGGATCTCCAAATAAGCAGTACTATATAAATGCTATGACAACAACTGCATCTATTTCTAAACCAGCGACAGGCCAAGCTGTCGCAGAAGGCCTCAGGCTGGTGTGGCCAATTAAGATTCTAGGATCTTGTGGGAATGGAGTTCTTAATCTAGAATATGAAATATATGCAAAATAATGTGATTTGAAAAATGGATGAAAAATTAAATGGTATCATTTTAAAAGTTAACAGACTTGAGGGAGTCATCGGACAAACTTGAAGATGGGTTCGGAGGGGGCGGTTGTTGGTTTTTGTTTCTTTTTTTTGGGTTAAGAAAAGCGGAATCAAAGATAAATTGGATTTAAGTGTTTCAGCTAACAATCCAGCATTCATTAACTAAGAAAACATTGTACTTTAGTGTCAAACAGAAGAGCTAGGCAATAATTTGGGGCCAGATTATCTTTACCTATTAGATTTAAAGAGGGGCTTACAGGGTAAAAATGTAGTGACTACTTTCCCTGCTTTGATGGAGTAAATTGTACAAGTTAAACATGATCTGCCTTTAATTACTGACACAGTCTTTCATCTCCGAGCCCCTTGTGATTTATTTAGCACTAATGGAGGAGTTAGAAAAGAAATGGTTGTATGCTTTAAACAGCAAATTTAATGTCTAAGATGGGAAAAGGAACATAAATTTGGATTTCATGGAAACTCATATTTGAAGAGTGAAATTTAAGTAAAGTTTTAAAAAATCACCTAGTGAGTTAAGAGCCTAAGTTTTGATTACAAAAATGACTTACTCGAAGCCTAAATGTCATTGACAATCTTTTGTTTTTTGAGAAAAATTATGAATAAAATTAAATGGGAAAGGTATTTTTCTGAATTTGAAAATGCCAAAATATTGGATATAAGAAATAACCTTTCATTCATAATTTATACAATCAACTTCTTAGTTTGGTTGAAAATTTTAAGAAAACAAACCATAAAGATGTCCAGGGTTTTAAAATATTTGCTTATCGCTCTTCTTCTAGTCCCCCATCTTATATTTAGTAAGTGATTGATATATAAGGTAACTGATGATTTGTGATGGGTATATTAATTTTATATCATGCAGAGGTGAATAAAAGCACTTTTGCAGGAAACTACAAAAATTCAATTCAATTTTCTAGGATTCGAGGAGGAATATTTTCTTCTTATATTTTTCCAAAGTGTCCTTAGAAATTTTTGTAGTTACCAAATTTGGAGGTTTTTTTAAATGTTGGAATTATGCCATTATGTGCAATAAAATAATGTTCAAAGTTGTTGGGTTGATCTCACTTTCTTTCTTCTCTTTGTTCCCCCACCCTTTCCCTTATTTCTCCAATCTAACTTTTCAGTCCTTCAGTTTTGGAAAAGAGAGAGAGTTTGGAGAGAAAATAAAATGTTACTATGACACTCCTGCTTTGTAACGTTTTCAAAGTTAGAGATGTGGAGCGTTAGTGTGAAAGGAGAAGAAAAATAATATGCACAAAACTAGGAACTTAATTCACTTTATTGTAATCAGTGTTGGAATGAAGAAGACTGCCAAGACTGTAATATAAAGTATTTGCTCATGAACAAAAAGAAAATAGCTGCTTTTTCTTTTCTAAGTGCTTACTTCACAACCAGTTTCTTTCCAAATATGCCAGGTACCATAAAAGAAATGTATCATTATGCTGGCTGAGACCTGTTCAGCTCTGACCCTTGACAAGTTGTGACAACTGCACTAAACCTTCTAGGAGAGTGTAAATATAACTGGCTTTGCACCCTTGTGAGTATCATCTGTCAACGAAAAAGTGTTATCAAAACTGCAGTGAAGGCTAGTATGAAGTATGAAAACTTTCTGACATGCTTCTGGAATAAATTAGGGGAACAGTACATGTGTGTGAGGCACAGAATTAATAAGCAAACTGTGCAATACAAAAAGCCAGGAAATCACCCAGGCTAGGTACAGACATTCAAAAAGTCCAAGGTGGAATCCATCTAAGTTACGCGGTTTTCTGTAAGCAGTGTGGCGTAGATCGGTAGGGAACAGAACACATTCGCGTGGGGGGGGAGCAAATCTTAGATCAGATTTTTTTTAATTTTTAAACACCAGTCTGTGTATGTCGGACTTCTGTTTGTTACAAACCGGTTTCTGATCACTTATACCAGTCATAGTGTACCCAGCCCACCACCAATACATAGTTACTCTTGTCAATGAATATGCATATGGGACTGAATCCGTGCTAATAGAACTATAACGGGCCAAAAATCAAAACCCCAGCCACGAGCAAATTTGGAAGTTACAAAATTGGGCTTCATCACACATCAAGAAAATAAGTCAAAAGCTCAGAGATTTTTTGCCAGGCGAAATTATTAGGGAATGTTTCAACTTTATCAAAACATTTCCATTTCAATGCAAGGGTTAGGTTTTGCTCATTTTGCCGGTTCTAATTTGAAACAGAAAAGTCAAAATAAAATGTTTGGATTGACTTTCACTTGGATAAATTCAGTCTTTTAATCATGTCTATGAAAATGTCAAAGAAATCAGTACTGTCCTGTCAAACATTTCTATTTCATTGAGCAAGTATACAGGGATGAAGCATTTTGTGTCAGAAATTTTCAATGAGCTTTAAATACGGGTAAGGCACTGTCAAGATGCTCAAGAGGACTAGATTTTGTTTTATCAATCTGAATGAGAGACATACATTTAACTATAATAAATATGGAACTAAATATGCAACACCTTTTAACTATTTTGATTTTTTCCCTTAGTTTATTGTATTTTTTTTAACTTTCTAGTTTCTCTTTAACTGGAGAAAAATGTGTTGTGTTATATGGGATGATGCGCCACACCATCTGCACCCCACTTTTCAAAATCCTAGATCTGCCTCTATCTGTTCTGGCCATTTATAACGTGTCCCGTGCTTGACCTCTGAGGCTTCATCTTGGAAACAAAACTAGTAGTGAGGCAGGGTTTTAGGAGTAGACTCCCAGATTCCTCACATTTTCTTCTTTTCCTTCTTACATACAGTCAGTTCTGTCTTGATATAATTTCCTGCCTCACTGACTGTGAAATTCAGGGCCTAGCTACTCGCAAGCCCATCAATGCTTCTATTTCTCCACCCAAAACCTAACCAATAATCTGCTGAATGGATTCTAAGATTGAAAATCAGATGAACTGAGAGTTGTATGAGGAGGGAGTCTGGTGTCACACATAGAGATCAAGAATGCTAACTTATGACCAACTGTTAGTGAAAGACACAAGCTTTTAGGCACCAGTTTTTGTTCCTGTTCAATAATGATTTCTGTCCTGCATCCTTTCCTGCCCCAGATATTACTTAAAAATTAAACAAATTTTTTCCTTTTAAAAATAAATAACACATCACATAGAGGCTTGTAATATAAAGAGACCATTCAGATACCTTGTGTGCATCTTTACTGGGTGCGTCTACATGTGCAATTATTTGCAATTAAATTTAATGTGCAGTAAGTGATTTTTGGAAGGTGTCTACACATTCAAGGATCTGGCACTAAATTTAGTGCCAGGTTCTTCCAGCCCTGTCAGGCTCCCCTGTGGTCAATGAGGGGAGCTCCAGCCTCTAGCCCCAGCTGCCAGCACTTGGCAGCCATCTTTAAAACACATCCATTGCATTTTAACCAGTGCCTCGGCTGGACCCACACCCTCATCAAGTGCACCTTTGGCCACATCAAAGGCCACTGGAGGTCCCTCACGACACACCTCAAAGTGGCTGTGAAAAACCTCCCCCAGGTCATGGTAGCAGTCTGTGTGCTACACAACATTTGCAAGGCCCAGGGAAGAGTTGTTCAGGGAGGCCTGGGCAGAGGAGGCACACTGGTGTGTGAGACCTCTTGCCCCTCCCTCACCAACACACAGAGCTCCTTTCGCCCTTCCCCTCTCAACCAATACAGCCTCCTCCCCACTCGCTACCCAACAAACCAAGCCCCTCCACCACCTTCCCCAACCACCAATAAAAATCCCTCTCCCCAGTGTCAAAACTATTTACAAGACTCTCAGTCTCTGTGAGTCCCTGAGCAGGGGGCCATGGGGTGGGGGTGCATAGGGGACAGAGTCTAGGGGTAGACGGCCAGCACTCCGGTCTCAGGCCATTCCCCTGTGGGTCTGGGGACTACGGCAACCACAGTGGGTGGTGGGCCTGTCCTGCCTCAATGGCAGATGGTGCTCCCCAAGTGCAGGGCCAACATCCCTTTGCAGTGCCATGCCTGACACCTCTGAGTCCTCAGGTGCATGGTGTCAGGGCAAGCAACAGGACCAGGCCCAGGTTGGGGACCAGGCCAGGGGCTTCTAAAGGCAGGAGGCACCAGAGAACCTACTCCCAGGCCCAGCCAGGGGCCTTCTGCAGGGTGGCGGGTAGCTACCAGGAACCCTGTGGGGCCAGAAGCAGGGACCAGGAAGTGCGGGGCACACACACAACCACCAGGCCCAATGTGCACAGTTAAGCAGTCATTGTCCATGGCCTCTACTACCCAGGCCTGGATGGCCATTTGCTGCCTGAGCAGCTCAATCCACTTCTACTCCAGGGCCTCCATCATGACCCAGTGCTCCCACTGTGCCCAGTCCCATGTGTCTTCCCCAGGCAGTCTCCTGGGTAATGGCCTCTTCCCGTTAGGCCTGTGCCCATGCCTCCTGCTCTTCCACCACTGCTACCAGCTGTTGCAGCATGAGGGTCTGATCCTGGGTCCACTGCTGGCAGAGCTGGCACATGCAGTGGCTCCCAGCACTGGGTGGTGGTGACCTGGAGCCCGCATCCCTGCTGGGGCCTGTGGTGTCATTCCTGTGTCCAGATGTTGGCCCTGCAGAGGCAAGAGACAAAAGCCTTTTGTGAGAGTTTGCAACAGTCAGAGATAAGATGTTCTGCACCAGGGGATGTGCGCTGCCCTGTCTCAGCTCTGGGGTCGGCTGTGCACAGGTGCCCAGGAACCAGGGTAATTCTGGTCGGGCAGGCCTGCTGGGCTCAGGTGGCCGCCAGCTGAGCCTCCCAACCCAACTTGCTCCCCTGGGGCCAGTGGGCCTCTGGGTGCTGGCCACAGGCAGCTTGCCTCCCCCGTCCCCTTCCCAAGGTGCAACAGGCCAGGATCCTGGCAGTACCTGCTGCTGCATCTCCAGATCGTGCTACCTCCTCACTCCTCCTGCAGGCCAACCACTCTGCTCTGCTGCCACACAGCCCATGGTTCCTGGGTTCAGGGTGCATGGGGCTCCCAGGCAATTGGGGTGAGGGGCTGGCTGCACCCCACCCTCCCCACTGAGGGCCACTCCAGGGAGATGCTCCTGGGCCAGCTCCCTCCCATGCTGCCACTGTGCCCCAAGCATGCCCCTGCTGTATGTGCCCCAGGCAGTGCACAATGAACTATTTGTGCAGGCTGAGGGGTAACTAAGCCACTATGCCCTGCTGGTCCTGATCTTCCTGGTGCCCAGGCACACCTGCACTCCTGGTTTGGCATGTGGGGGGCCAGCCTGCGCTGCCTTGTAATCTCTGCCACTGTCTTGAGGGCTACCTGTCGCAGCGCTACACATTCCTGCCCCCATTGCTGAGGAGGACATTGCCACTGGCACTGAAGCCTTCCTCAAGAAGTGAGAGCCCGTATCTGTCCAGCTGTGGGAACACAGACTGCTTAATAAAGTTTTGAACTGTGTCCTGCCTCTCTGCATGCCCTGCCAGCCAGAGACCTGCTCTACCCTGGCTCAAACTGCTGCCCTCCTGGGTGCATGTGTAGATGCTGTGCCCTGGAGCAGTTTCCTCCAGTTCAAACAGCACTGAAATTTATGGTGTCACATTAATTGCATGTGTAGATGCACTCCCTGTTTATGAGTGCAAAGAGAAAGGGCCAAAAACAATTTCTCTCCCCCTGATATTCTGGATAGGTAAGATCCCAACAGCGGAGGGATTTCTATGGGGCCAGGTTTTAGAACAAAATCCCAGTGCACATAGAGTCAGGGTAATAAGAGGACAGTAAAATTCTTATGCTGAAGAATAGTATCTTCAGGGGCCCCTAAGAGATTCTGGACCATTCATTCAGAAATCTTCTTAGTGAACTCAAACATTCCCAAACATGGCAGACAATGGCTTGTTCTGAGCCAGTGATGTCACTGGATATTTAGAGAAACATTTAAAATTTACTTCATGATACAAAAATTAACAATTGTGCCTAGGCCTAAGCAGTAACTTTATTTGAGACAACAATATTATTAGGATTTTTTTTTACATAACTTTAGCATACTTGTGCGTCAGCCTGTTTGATGCAGTATTCTTCATCTACTCCCAAGGAACGTTCTGAGGCTATGAGGTGTCGATAATCTCCATACTGAAACCACCTCCAAGGCCTCATTGCCGCAAACTGTGATAGCCCTATTTATTTTATACTGGATGACTGGATCAATAAGGTGCATTGTAAAAATTCTCCCTGAGCTGAGCACTTTTCTCCTATGGATAGTTATTTCCATTTTCCATACATCATCCTCATTTATTTCATCTGAAATCATAACACTAAAGCAAACATGCTCAGAGGTAATACATTTAAAAAACACGTGGCACTTGGAGGCTACCATGTGATGCAAAAACTTTGGTCACTGTTTAGAATCAGAGCCTGGAAGGCGAGGAACGCAGGCACCAGAACAGAAAAGCAATTAAGCCCATGCTTAAGTTTAAGCACATGACTTGGTCTATGAACGCTAATAGAACCATGTAAGTGTTGTTCTGGATCAGGGTCAGCATCCCTAGCACCTTACATGAACCCTTCTGCAGTGTAGAAAGGGTTCATCTATAATTGCATCAAACTTTAATTAACAAAACCTAAATAATATAGCACTTAGAATGATCTGCCACCCTCAAGGCAACTATTATAAGCATACTAGAATTTCCTTCCACTGTTACTATGCCTGGAACATCCTGCCTTATCCGACCTACCCTGCCATGGCCCTCTATTTTAAGACTCTTCTCAACAGCTCCTTCTTACGTATAGGTTCAAAACAATTCATATAAACTCAGATGGAATCACTACTTAATGCAGTGACTTCTCACATGACTATTATCTCAATGTGTTCTCTCCATCTTAGCCCTTCTTTATCTTCCATGTATGTTATTTCCTCCCAACATAGTGCCATTTAGATTGTAGATAAGGGAAACTTTCTACTTGCGTTCTGAAGTTTCACAATATCTGTGGAACTATATAAAAATAACAGGGAGGTGGTATTCACGATGCCATGCTTAAAAACAACGGCTTATGTTTGGGACAGCTTGAACCTCTGCATGAGCTAAGGAACAATGCTGTTGATATATTGAAGTTATTACTCAACCTCTGAGCAAAAGAACAGCACTTACATATGATAACTGTGCCATTATCACAGACGCCGGTTGCATCTCAGCATTAGCTGCTGCAATCATAGCACCTGCAATTGTTCCTAAAACACACTCCATGTCAACGTGTTGACAGAAATTGCAAGCTTCTCTCATCAGCTGTGGAATTAACATGTGCCCACTGTATATGCCCTTAAACATAGTTATGGAAGGTACAAAAATGGCACTTTGGGGAATGTGTCAGACAATTCAGCTTAGTGACTATAGTGACATAGAAAAACCAGTGGCCTTTGGAGATTTTCAAGCAACATAACTGGAATATATTAACCATGGGACTAAAAAAGCACCCCATTGTATATTGGTTGAGATTATACATACATGAGTAAACCCTTTGATTTGAATGGGAATACACAAGTCATGCCAGGAAAGTTTCAAGTTTGGGTTTTGACTCTAAACAGAACTTTCTCCTAATTAAAAGCTTGTCTAATAGAAACAGGGCAATATAATCACTGAATGGAAGGAAAATTTCCAGAAACAAATGGATATACACAACAGTGTGTCTCATATTACTTAGTGACTGCTATTAAAAAGATCAACGTTCTTCAACAGTCGCTGCACAAAACTGGCATTTAGGAAAATACCAGTGTTTCCGATTACAATATAGGAAAGTCCTGTTGAGTTGTGCAAGAAATGTTGACGTTTAAAATGGCAACTTCTCTGCCCTCTTTCCTCTGGAAAGATTGCTAGCAATGCCCTACAGAAGGAGCATATGCAATCACAGTGGTTCTTATAAGAAATTTACTTCCGCAAATCTGCCATTAAAAATCCAAAGCAAATGTGATGTGAATGTAATGTGTGTAAGAGCAGAAGGAACCGGGGGTCAGTCTGCAGAGCTGTGATGTCTGTTCATTTGGACTGCAAATCCCCCAAGGGATGGGGGGCAAAAGAAAAGGAAGAGGAAGCTTGAGGCTGGAGTAAGGAGAAGAGACAGCAGTGAGCGGGTGAAACATGGTCAGCCCTACACAGAGGAGTGGGCAGTGGAGCGGGAGACTCACTGGCTCAGTCAGCCAGGGCTGTGGGCTGACGGAACTGGGCTCAGACTTGGGGGCAGCGGCAGGCTGCTGTTTAAGTGCTCTAGGGACTAAAGGCTTTTTTGGGGACACCTCTGGAGGCATGCTGGGGGCAACTAAGGTTCCAAGTGTATGTTACCACCATGTTAATGTTTCTTACCTTTTACCTGTTCCCTCCCTTTGGCCTGTTGGCTTGTAACCCTAACCCCTATGATTTGCTATATAAAAGTGGGAACTCCCCCTTGCTTCAGGTGCCAGTTTCTGGGGCTGCAGGGTTGGGGCACAAGTTTATTTTCACTACATATAAATGATGCAAAGCCCAGCGATGATTAACTTAGCTATTGGCTGATTGTAACTACTTAAAGACCATAATTGTAGCATCTAGGGATGCCTATACACATGGCGATTCACATGCTAATCAAAACGCATCAGAGCAGACTCAATTAATCAGGTATCCTCTCTGTGTTCTAATTAGAGCACTCCAGCATGTGTATAAGCCCCTGTGAGTTTTAAAATGGCCACTGGGGCGCTTTATCTCAACCTCGTCAAAGGAGATTTATATAAAGTTCCCCATGGCTATTTTTAAACCTGCAGGGGCTTAATACACACAACAGTGAGGTCTTTTAATTAGAGTGGCTTTCTGGGAACCACTCTAATTAAAACACCGCCACCCCCGAGTACGTGTATAAGCAGCCTAGGTTCTTAGCACTATGCCCCAGTCAATAGGCACGAAACACAGACAAAGAAGAAAGTTGTGGATGCAGAGCTAATAGTATTTTGTTATCAATAGCAATTAGCAAGGATGACCACTGTAGTATGTTTGTATATAGGAATAATTTGCCAATATTGTCTAAATAAAATTCAATAATAACTCAACGGCTGGATCCCAGAAAAGAAAATGTTTCAAATCTTAGTGTTTACACAATGGCAGGTTTAACTGACAAAAGACTTTAGGAAGTGGCCCTACAAGCTTGCAAAGTTATGAAGAACATAGTCTTTTAAGAGTCATTATTTTTAGGGTACCATCTTCATTTAAACTATTTAAACACCTGGAAGTTGGTTTTTCTGGCTCCAGAACCTCCACGTGTATAGATGAGATGGGAACTCAATAGTATACATCCAATTGTGAATGGTTTCACTTCAAATATCCTACTTGAGCAAATCCAAATACGCCCTGGTGAGCAACACCTTTTTTTCTTTTTAATGAATTTAAAAATTCAAATATCTATTAAGAGAAACCATCTTTCAGCATTTACCTAGATATTTCAGATCCACTATTACAATTTTACCATCATAATTTGTACCAAACCATAGAAAAAAAATCTCTTTTTGTTAAGGAGCCGGAATGAATGGGATAAACTGTTGTGAATTTTTCTTCATGATTTATTTTTGTATCATGTTTATTCTGAACAGGATTGTGCCTGTGATG